AACAAAGAAAGTGCCTATAAGCTTGGACCCTACACACAGACTCCAGGGTACAAACTTGTATTATAAGGGTGCACTGGGCATAAAAAGCAGTACGGGTTCCCGCCTCCTCCCATTGCTCCGCCTCCTTAACACTTGGAGTCCATATTGGGAAAGGAGTTAGTGACTGCGCAGTGCGGGAGGCTTTTCCGGATCTCGTCGATCCCTTGGTCCTCGAAAAAGATCCCATTGAGGTTAAGGTAGTTTAAGGCGGCCATGTTGACGCACACGGCGATGATGCAGTTCGAGGAGAGCCGGAAGCAATACTCCAACCACAGCTTCTCCAGAGTCTTAATGCCGGACAGGCAGGCCAGGCCGGCGTCCGTCAACGAGCAGAAGTTGGTGAGCGCCAAGGTCCGTAGGTGCTTCAGGTGGCAGCCGATCAGGTGCAGCGTGATATCCGTGACGTTGCAGCCGTTGAGTTTGAAGTGCTCGAGTCCTTTCAGGTAGGGGACGGCTTTCTGAATGCCGATGTCGGTGACTCGGTAGGTGCCGGCCAGGTAAAGGGTCTTTAAGGCCGACTGGCTGCAGATGGCCTCCAGGTGGTGGTTGGAGAAGGAAGAGACGTTGCTCAGGACGAGGGTCTCCAGCTTTGGCAGGGTTTTGATTTTGTTGGCTAAGGACTTGAACCAGGTCGTTGGGATCTCGCACTGGGACAGCTCCAGCGTCTTCAGGGTGGACGGCAGGTAGTCGTAGCTCAGGGATCGGAGGCTGGTCTCCTCCAGGTGGAGGTTTTCTAGGCTGGGGAAACGCTTCTCCAGCACTTGGAGGATGGCCGGGGTCAGGAACTCTTGCTTCTTGGCGGACAGAAGAAAACCTTTGATCTTCAGAGTCTGCATGCTGGTGCCGAGCCAATGCCTCACCAAGTGCCAGAGGATCTTCGAGTTCAGCTGTGAAACAGAAAAATCAGAGTCAGAATACAACATGGCGGCACCGGGCAACCACACACCCAACCTGAAAAGGATGATGACCCCCAACGCACAGGATCTTCCATTGCTTACCCCTAGCCCTGGGTCTGTATAGAGGGACGGACTTCCTGTTTTGGGGCTGGAGGAGGATCTGGACTACAATGGCGCTGAGATTACCAGCGTGCTCTGCGAGTCCCGTGTAGCATCCTAACACAAAACGTGGTCTAAAGATGGACTAGGCCTTTAAATTAGGGATGCACCGATACCGGTATTTCGGTATCGAGTTACAATATAATATTTGTTGGTACTCGCCGATACCGAAAGTCCCATTCAGGAAGCCAGGCGGCGTGTAATGACCCACCACCCGGCTTCCCGATTAGCAGGAAAGCCGACCCCGTGCTATGTGATGAGAAAACATGGAGTTGGCTTTCTGGCCAATCAGGAAGCCGGGTGCCATTTAATGACGCATCGCCCAGCTTCCTGATTGGCCAGGAAGCCGGCTCCATGCTCCCTCGTCATGAGGTGACGAGGGAGCATGAAGCCAGCTTCCCGGCCAATCAGAAAGCCGAGCGCTGCGTCATTGTAGCTGCCCAACTTCCTGATTGGCCGGGAAGTCGGCCCCATGCTTTCTCGTCACAAGTGACGAGAAAGCAGGACGAGTGCTCTGCTACCTTCCTTCTTCAGATTGACTACTTCCTGGGTCACCTGACTACTTCCTGGGTCACCTCCCTGCTAACTGGACGGATGGTTAAACATTAACTGTCCAATCAGAAGGTAGGAGGCAGAACGGTGACATAGGAAGCTGCGTTGCTGAACCAGTGAATAGGTGTTCGTGTCCTACCTAGCTGTGCGGTGAGGCAGAGACCTGCGAGTCACAGTACTGGCCGTACAGAATAACAAATCCTCTGGCAGGGAGGGAAATTAACCAAAACTGGAGCAGACAGAATCTGTCCATGGCAACCAATCAGCATCTTTCTTTCATTTTCTAAGCTAACTGAACAAACAGAAGCTGATTGCTTCCTACGGGCAGCTGCTCCAGATTCTGTCTGCCCCAGTTTTGAGAAATGCCTCCACCTCTACTCCGCCGCCCTGTGTATTTCACTCTATGGCTGGAATTTAGTCTCTCCCTCCCTCCCTCCCTTCTTTCATTGTGCCGATCGTGAATGGGCGGGCTGCGGCGAGTCGGCATGCAGCGAGTCCGTGTGGCGCGTCGGGGAGGGCCCAGTCACACCAAGAGTGCGGCGAGTAAGAGAGCTCACTGCAAGGAGAGGAGCGGCGGCTTCAGCGGTGGGCGTGGCTTCTGCGTCGTGTCAAGGCGGACTCGACGGGTCATGTGTGGAGCTCCCGAACAGGCTAACCTATCCATAGCCGACGATGGCAAACGTTCACAACGTTTTCCATTGTCGATTTTAAATCAACGTAATTGATTAACTGTTGCAGCTCTGGTCGTCATTCCTGTACTCATCATCAGAGGCAGCCCAATGGCTGAAGAGGACAACGGGGGGCCGAGAACTATCATCGGAGAAGCCTAGGTGGTCAGTGATGGGGGAGGGGACACTCAGAAGGTATAGGCACAAGTATGCCGGGTATACGCTCAGACTATGACAGGAGCTCAGCAACTGTATTCAGCTATAAGAAGGAATTAAAGGAGTTTAAGGACCAGAGGTCTTGCTGCACTCCTTACCGGAGGGAACCCATATGGGTGAGTGCTTGTAATGACCACGGACGGCACCCTGTCAACCACTGAGCCTGATGAAGGGGACCCCATGAGGCCCCCGAAAGTGCTTGCACTGAATGGCAGTTTGCCATTAAATGGATTATTGATTTACTACTACGGTGTGCTGGTGACATTTTCTTTTCTCTGTAGGAAGGACTGACATGGGAGGGGAACGCGGATATTTTAGGAGGTCACATCTGTCTGAGAGCGGTTTGCAGTGTGCGCTCTACGAGAACATCTAACCACCCGCTTCCTGTCACCTCCCCGCAGATGTGAAAACCGTTACAACAGACCAGAAGAAGTCAAACTGAACTTACAAGAAGCCGCGTGCGTGCCGGGCGACGTCTATGACCAGAGGAAACACTAGGAGGGTCCCTGCAAGCTAACGCCGGCCACAGGCGTGATACACGCAACATGGTGCCTGCTTCTGGAGCTACACGGAATGAAGACGTCCCCACGCAGGGCCCTTTAAATATAAATGTTCCCCAAATGTACACACAGACTAAGCCACCCAAACCGGATCTCCCCGCGAGGGCCGATTATAATGTATAACCACCGCGAGGGCGCCATCTCTCACCCCCTTCCAGTCCTCAGTGCTGGGATACTTTGACTGACAATAACTCCCGTCACATAGCACTATATGACCAAATTAATACGGGGGGAGGGGGGAGTTCCCTTTTACTGCATAAAGGGAAAAAAAAAAAAAAGACCAAAAATGTTGTAAAAAACGCGTTTCCGTTATTACTTTCTATGCAGTGTGGAGGTTTCAGAGTCCACAGACCATAAGATATATATCACCTCCGATGTTCTGACTGCCTGTCCCCTCTCTCCAGGCCGGGGACGCACAATCACAACCCAAAATGAACCCCTTTTTCGAAAGGTAGACGCCCCGAGGTATTCAGTAAGAGGCGCGAGGCGAGTAGTTTGAAGTTCTAATTTTTGGGAAAATGGAATTAAAAATGTATTTGTTTCCCCCCCCCTCCCCCACAACGTCCTCATCATAATAGGATATTCCCGGGCGGGTGTTTTTCTTCATTGAGCCCTGCTGCAGGCACGCGGAGGAGCTGCCAGCCGCCCAGACCACGTTGTAGCAGCCTGCTTGGCCGTCCCCTGCCTTGGTTTTCGCTGTTCTGGGGGGCCCAGACCACAGCAAATGATGGGGAGCAGAGTGGGGAACGTCCCTTCTCCGATCTGCTCTGTGTGTACTGACAGAGCTTCCTGTCTCAGCTGTCACAAGCCGGGCTGTACAATGCTGTGCTCCATCTTCTGTACTGGAGGGCAGGCCAATTAAAGAGAACCTGTCACCTCCAAACACTATCGCATAGGGGGATTTTTATCCCTTGTGTGATAGCAATAAAGCTAAATGAAAAAAATATATATAAAGCCACCTGCAGGCGAATGGGCATTGTGCATGTCCACTGAGTGTGCCATACTGGGGTAGCCGGGCAGCAGCGCTCTCCAACACACACAATGCGCATTAAAGGGGAAGTTCACTTCACCATGTAACTAGGGAAAATGGAATTACCCGCTCAAATCCCTTCCCCCTCCCGATTTCCCGTCATACTTACCTTGGAGCCAACAGTCCTTCCCCTCTGCTAGTACAGGTGCACTATCTGTACCCCATACCGACGTCCAGTGCAGCCCTGCACCACGGATTTTTAATTTTGCCCACAAATTGCAGCGTCCACCAATGAGAAGCGTTAGATGGGGCCCCCAGCTTTAGTCCTTGGACAAGTAGATGGGGGCCCCCGCTTTAGTCCTTGGACAAGTAGATTGGGCCCCCGCTTTAGTCCTTGGACAGGTAGATTGGGCCCCCGCTTTAGTCCTTGGACAAGTAGATGGGGGCCCCCGCTTTAGTTCTTGGACAAGTAGATGGGGGGGCCCCCGCTTTAGTCCTTGGACAAGTAGATGGGGGGGCCCCCGCTTTAGTCCTTGGACAAGTAGATGGGGGGCCCCCGCTTTAGTCCTTGGACAAGTAGATGGGGGCCCCCGCTTTAGTCCTTGGACAAGTAGATGGGGGCCCCCGCTTTAGTCTTTGGACAAGTGGATGGGGGCCCCCGCTTTAGTCCTTGGACAAGTAGATGGGGGCCCCCGCTTTAGTCCTTGGACAGGTAGATTGGGCCCCCGCTTTAGTCTCTGGACAAGTAGATTGGGCCCCCCGCTTTAGTCCCTGGACAAGTAGTTTTTTTATACATCCTCACCCCTGGCACAGTACATTTACAATTACACCCCAAAACACATTCTGCGAATCCTCTCCGAGTGCGGACATACCACGTGTGAGACTTTTCTTGCAGCCTAGATGCGCGGAGGGTTCCAGAATCCGAGGAGCAGCTTCAGGCTTTCCTGGGGCATCAATTACACATCTGAAATCCTGACTACCCAGAATCCTCCAGTCCCAGGACAGCAGAAACACCCGCAAAATGGCCGGCACTGGTACCGGATGACCCTGACACCTAATGCCCTTCACAGGTGCAAGGCACTCATGTCCACCCAACTGAAGCCGCGCACCAAATACTGGGTTGTGGGAATTCCCGAAGAGAGACAAGGGAGGAAGGAACCTAGTGTGTGTGTGTGTGTGTGTGTGTGTCGTCCCCCCCCAGACTTCAGAACAGGTCCAAAGACCCTCCAATCTGTAAGAGTGAAAAGTAATGTACATAAAAAGTACGTTCCAGTATTTGTAGCATTGCACGGGGTTCAGGACCGGGTGCATGGGGGTCAGAATCTTCAAAACAAACAAATTGTTATTTATATAATCACCTAATATTATTAAAGTGTGAGAACCCAACTAAAGGAGGGAGGGGGGGGGGCTGCGTGATATGAAGTGCAAACAACATCATACAACCGTTTATTTCTCTATAGAAAGCCAATGACTGAACGTCGTACTCGTGAAACTTTCGCACAGCGACCAGGTCTGCGAATGTCAGTCATAGATTCACATTGTGGCCTCTAGATGGAGCCGAGGAGAACAGGAAATGTGTGCGCTCTTCAGGGCCACCTAATAATGTGCTGTCTGTGTATATAAGACATTCACCGAGCCGTTCACAGGGTGAATATTTTATAAACACGCCAATAAGTCTATAGAGAGACGATGTTATTAAAGGGGAACGCCAATGTCTCCCAATACACGTCCTTATAAGGTGTGCTGTCATGGTTGTCAGAGCGCTTATTTCAGCTCTCAACCGAACTTTCAAGCCCTCATAGCTGGTCACATGAGCAGCACCATGGCAACTGCAATTGTTAGCCCCCTTGTGAGAGCAATTAAGTTAAGTGGAAAAAAAAAAGAGCGTCAGCTCCGCCATTGTCACTGACAGCAACCCAGACCATCTTATGGGCAGACTCTTCTCGAATGACAACCAGCCCAGGCACTGCGCACTGACAGTCGGTGACGTTTCCTCCATGGCCATGATGACAGGACCCCCGTGTCACCCAGAACCTCTCACCTGCAGCTCCGGATGAGATCACGCACGGACAGGAAGCTCAGCACCTCCAGCAGCACGCTATCCGGTAGCCACGACAGGGTCGGTGTCACCGAGATGCCGCTGCTGCCAACGGACGGGATTTCCGAGCTCTCTCCGCCATAAGCAGACATCATCTCCATGGACACGGCGCACTTCCGCCTAAACCAAGCACGGCTGTCAACGATCTACCATAGAGAACCGGAGCGCCGAGGAGTAGAGCGCCCGCTCCGTCTGCGTTCCAAATGACGATAGAGTCCGCCTTCTTGCTAATCGGCTAGAGCGTCCGCTGTGCGTTCCAAATGACGATAGAGGAAGCGCGATTAGACGGCTAGAGCGTCCGGTCAGTGATTTCTCACACGACAGTTATGTGGTGTAACGACAGCGCCGCCAACGGCTGCAATGTAGATGACACCCCCGAGTGACTAAACGTTACATATGCAACGACATTACGTGACAGCGGCTGGGAGCGCGGGGCTGACTCATGGCTCATAAAGAAGTGTGAACGCATATTTTCAGTGCGGGAAGCCATTTTGTTGCCTCGGTAATGAGAGGCCTATATAGGTGTAATAAAGACGAGAGCTGGCGTGACAATCGATGACGTCACTACTTTTATAATTTAGTCATTAAGACAGCGACTGTTTAGTTTCCAAGCTATGTGTAACTAGGTGACGTATGTAGATAAGATTTATCACGTCAGATCACATGGCTGTTTCCGTAGTGTAGTGGTTATCACGTTCGCCTAACACGCGAAAGGTCCCCGGTTCGAAACCGGGCGGAAACATGTATTATTTTTTGTTAACTGTCTTCCATCTCTGGCCATTGATCCTTCTCGTCACAAAATACCATTTTCTAAAATCTTTATGTTATAAATTCTTTATTTCACGTTTCTCAAACACAAAATACCATTTTAATACTTAGGAAATACAGAGCTAAAAGAATCGTGTCATCCGTTCTCAAAAATCTCATGCTCCAGGTGAGGCTCGAACTCACAACCTCGGCATCGCTCACTAGTTACTGTCATATAAGTACCGCGCGCTAACCGATTGCGCCACTGGAGCACCTGTAAAAAGTCGTGGCGGGAAGTGCTGAGGAGGATTGTCCGTCGTCGTCAACCGTCCTCCCTTTTCGTTGTGTGAGGGGGGCCAGGGGGACGTTTTAAAGTTAAATTCCGGGATACAAGAACATTTGTTCTACAAGTTCTGTTACAGAAATACATGAGAAAGCTGCGCAGTGTTTTATTAAAACTTCACCGTTTAGGAGAAAAATGCACAAATGTAAACGGTGTGACGTCATGGCTCCCAGTGTGAAAGCACCTATAGAGCCGGGACCTGGGGGAGGGGTCAATAGAGGGTCTGCCTTGTCAATGGAGTTCATGAAGAGTGTGCGAGTCCACAGAATTGTGTCACTGCCTGCCACAAATCCATACATCAGCATCATTGGTTGTTATGGTGCTGTGCAGCCGACAGTATCCTAGCAACCAAGGATGCTGTGCAGGCGACAATATCCTAGCAACCAAAGACGCTGTGCCGGTGACAATAGCGTAGCAACCGTGAACACTGCAGCCAACAATATCCTAGCAACCATGGACGCTGTGTAGCCAACAATATTCTAGCAACCAAGGACGTTGTGCGGGCGACAATATCCTAGCAACCAAGGATGCTGTGTGGCCAACAATATCCTAGCAACCAAGGATGCTGTGTGGCCAACAATATCCTAGCAACCATGGACACTGTGCAGGCGACTATTCTAGCAACCATGGACACTGTGCAGCCAACAATATCCTAGCAACCATGAACGATGTGCATGTGACAATATCCTAGCAACCATGAACGATGTGCATGTGACAATATCCTAGCAACCAAGGACGCTGTGCGCTGACAATATCCTAGTAACCAAAGAAGCTGTGTGGCGGACAATATCATAGCAACCATGAGCACTGTGCAGCTGACAATATCTTAGTAACCAATAACGCTGTGCGCCTGAAAATATCCTAGCAACCAAGGATGCTGTGCGCCTGAAAATATCCTAGCAACCAAGGATGCTGTGCAGCTGACAATATCCTAGCAACCAAGGATACTGTCATATAAGTACCGCGCGCTAACCGATTGCGCCACTGGAGCACCTGTAAAAAGTCGTGGCGATCATTGTATTGTTGTATCATTGTATTGTTGTATCATTGTATTGTTATATCGTTGTATTGTTATATCGTTGTATTGTTATATAATTGTATTGTTATATAATTGTATTGTTGTATCATTGTATTGTTCTATTATGTATCACACACCCACATGTAAGATGACACAATTTCCGGTCACATTGCGGCACATTGTCGGGTGTCACTCGCAGAAGTTGTGGTTGCGGATGATGATGCGGCGGAGGTGACGGATTATAACACCAGGGGGCGCCATTGTAACCAACGGAGAATCTTCCGGACGATGCAACTTGTCTTTCGGCCCCTTTCAGTCTGTTCTTTATCCCAGTGACCGTTGTATCTGTGCACAGAAATTCCCGTTGATCCTGCCAGAAATCCGGCCAGCTGATAACTCTCCGTGATCCCGGCCCACGCTGCACTTGTCATCAGTTACATTGTTCTTAGTAGCTAGGAGGACTACAGAACCCCTCCCCTCTATGTTATGGAGATGAGGAGAAGGACGAGGTTCCGTAGTCATCTCTTGCTTCTGTTGTCCTGATACAGTACGGTGAGTGAACGTTGTCACCCGAAGGACAGGAAGTGTGCTACTGGCAGGTCAACCAAGTGAAAATTTGTAGTTCCACAAGAGCTGGAGGGGCGGAGTTTGCCTGCCCCTGTCCCATATTTGTATTGTATTTCATACAGAAGATTGCAGATCAGTGTTCCCCTCACAACAGGAAGTGATGAATGGAGTCACCCCCTTTCCTCCCCTCTCCTCTATAGTATATGTCACCTCCATTCTATCTCTGCTGTGACCTGTACATTAACCCCTTCACCTCCACCCCCTGCCATGTGTATGACCTGTAACCCCTTCACCTCCACCCCCTGCCACGTGTATGACCTGTACATTAACCCCTTCACC